TCATCTCACCAAATCCCCCCAACTGCCAGGGGGTAGAAGCGGCTACCCCAAGTCGTGACTACTTTACAGGTGAGGAGGCAGAGGCTCAGAGAGGCTAAGGGACCTTCTGGAAGTCACAAAGCAGAGCAGCAGGGTCTGCCTGACCCCAGGCAGTGCTCTTAACTTCTGTGGCAGATCTGAGAGCGGCTGCCATTTATGAGGCACTTATTTATACATCATCCACCCCCACTCCCCCCGCCTGGGAGCAGAAGCAGGGCCAGTCCCACTCCTCCTCACTCCGCCCACCTCCTAAGGGCCACGAGGGCTGTTGGCCTCAGGCTGTCCATCTGCACCAGGGAGTGGACAGTGTCACTTCACCCAACAGAGAAAGAAGAAGAAAAGGGGCCAGCGGCCTGGACAGTCTCACGCTCCGGACTCTGCAGCCTGGCTGAAGGGCCTCAGGCACCCCGTGCAGAGCCAGCTGTCCCGAGGCAGCCAGGAGCTGGCCGATGCAGCTGCTCAGGAGAGAGGCCCCCGCCGGAGCCCAGCTCCCTCTGGCCTTCACCATCACAGCGGCTAATAACGACATCAATCAGCTTGACCGGGCTTCACACCATTACTTGCAGCTCAGCTGGAAGCTGCACGCCCGGGCTCCTGTTGTCCCCCTCGTCCACCCACCACCTTCCAGAAAGCAAGGAGCTTTCCGGAAGGGGAAAGAATGAAAGCGGTGTCTTCCTGAATACCTACTGCGTGCCTGGCGTATGCCTAAGAAAGGAAGCCCTTTCTACAACTCTGTGAGGTAGGGACCAAGGCTCAAGAGTGCAGGAGAGCAGGTGCATGCGTCCAAGGTCACCCAGAGCCGGCGCCGGAACAGCCATGGCAGTGACACGTTACGGAGCGCCCCCCGGCTCACAGCGCCAGGCACTAAGGCACAGCAATGCGTGAGCCTACCAAAACATCATTTTCATGTTCAGATGGGGAAACTGAGGCTTGGACCCGTCTGAGATGATACGCTGGTTAAAGGTGAGCAGCAGCACAGGGCTGGGGTTGACAGCGAGCTGTCTGTTCAGGCAGAAGAGCGCTCCTACCCTGGTGCTGACACTGACCTTGGGCCAACCTCAGCAGCTCTGGGAGCCTCAATTTCCTCATCCGAAAAAGGGGATAGTAAAGACATCCACCCCGATGTGTGGAATGACAATAAGGACACAAACAGTCCAAGAGCTAAAGTTTATTGATCACTTAACATGTACCAGGCGCGTTGCCAAGCACTTTACATATGTAAGCTCATTTGGTTAAATGAGGTAATGCATATAAAGTGCTTAGCACAGGACTCCTGAGATGGGAGTGATAATGATGATGATGAAGAAATTGATGACCACTCCCTAGGGCAAAGCTCCCTGGTTCATCCCCTTACTGGAAGAACAGAGTAGCGTGGAAGGTTTCAGGAAAGAGGCGAACAAAGAAGAAAGGGCAGGGTCTGGCCAAGGGAGGGAGAAGGCAAAGGAGTAACAATTAGGAATCGTGTTAACAAGCCTTCAAGACAGGGAAAAGCAAAGGACCCAAAGGACAGAACCAGACCGACCAGGATGCAAAGAAACCTCCAGGGCAGGCCACACGTCAGCTCCAGTCCCAGGCAGAGCTGGCAGGACCTTGGGGAGCCAGACCCCGCTTCTTCCCATTTTTCAGACCAAAAAAAAACAAGGCTCAGCATGAGGAAGAGACTTTCCCGGAGCAGGATGGTAGTGGCCAAGCGGATCTGAATCCAGGCCTCCTGCCTCTCAGCTCAGTGTCCAACCATCTGCTGCAGGTGGCACCTGGACACGTGGGAGCCACAATTCCAGGGCATCTTCCCACGGTATGAATCATTACGATAAAAATAAAAAGCTACCGCTCACTCTGTACCTGGCACGGTGCTACCTCCATTGCGTGGGTTTCATCTCACCACAATGTGAACAGTAAGGAGCTATTTACTTTTGCTCTATTTAACAGATGATAAAAAACTGGTTCAGAGAGGGTAACTCACCTAAGACCACACAGAAGGTGCCAGAGCCAGGACTGGAATCTGGTTCTGTCCTGTTGAACTCCAGGGCCTTAACTACTATCCTACACTTGCAGCCCGAATGACACAGCCCTTGCCTGCTTCCCCAAACCTCCATAACCCCTCACCTCCTACTCCCACACCCAAGCAGATCTATCCCAACTACAGAAGTGTAGAGACCCAGCCTGCTTTGACATAATGATGAGCTCCATTTGAAAAAAGTAAAGTGGGGGCCGGTGCTGTGGTGTAAAGCCTCTGCCTACAGCACTGGCATCCCAGATGGGCGCCAGTTTGGGTCCCGGCTGCTCCACTTCCAATCCAGCTCCCTGCTAATGGCCTGCAAAAGCAGAGGAAGGTGGCCCAAGTGCTTGGGTCCCTGTACCCAGGTGAGAAACCCGGAAGAATCTCCTGGCTTCGGATCAGCCCAGCTCTGGCCGTTGTGGCCATTTGGGGAATGAACCAGCGGATGGATGACCTCTCTGTCTGTCTCTCCCTCTCTCTGTCTGTAACTCTAATAAATAAATAAAATATTTTAAAAAGAAAAAGCAGAGTGGCACAATGTCTCCTCTTCTGTTCTTAGTTGCAAAACACTTAGTTCCCGCCTCCCCCGACAACCCAGTTCCTGGGATGAGAAAACTGAACTGCCCTTCCCCTCTCAGGCTGGGGACTTCCAGAGGCCGGGGGAACATTGTGGAGGCTGCCTGCAGCAGAGGCCCGCAGGCAGAGGGACAGCTGGAGGGTCTCCCTGGGCAACCAGCCTCCCCCACCTTCTCTCCTGTAATACTCACAAGCTGCCCAAAGCCACCAGGCCAGGCCGTGGGAGAGCCGGAATCCCACACAGGTGTCCCCACTCCAGAGCCCCTCGTGCTAGTGAAATCAGGGGTAGGCAACCATTTCTCTGCCAAGGGCCATTCGGATCTATTATGGCACCATTTGCAGGTCACACAAAATCACCAACTTAACACTGAGCCTGCTACAGATGTAGTGAATGTTGAGTCCCACCTGTGGTTGCCTTGGCAGGGCCAGACCACGTGATTTCCAGGGGCCTTATACGGCCCATGGGCCAGACGTTCCCCACCCCTGTGCTATGGGAACGAGTGGGTGCAGCCCAGCCAGGGAGAACTGTGAAGGCAGGGAGGCTGCCTTCTCCGCAGAGCAGTAAGCACCCCAAGGAGCCCTGGACTTCCCAGGCACAGAACGAACTACTTCATAACCAAGAAGACAACAGAGGCTGTGGTCAGCCACCTGGGTCCCCTCTGGGTCACCGTGGTCACCACGTCCACAGGGACTGCGAGCGAGGGACACACTGGTAGCAGGTTTACCTTGGGGGGGACGCTCACCTTCATCTGCTCCAATTATCTACTGATTTATTCATTTTTCCAGGATATAGTTGTTTTCTAATTAAAGAAACCACCCTCATTCAAGGTCTTAGACACTAACAAACATAGAAACAGAATCTTCCAAGCAGTTTCTCGTTTCTTGGCATTTTTTGTTCCTTAAAGTAGATAAAGCAGGTGTTTGTGCCATGAGCTAGGAACCGTCAAATCTCATTCATTTTGCAAATATTCACGGAGTGCCAGGCCCTGGCCCAGCGGCTGGGGATTTAGCAGCCAACAAGACAGGCAATCTCGGCGGCCCTTCTGGAGTTGGCGTTCTCCGCTCTGCAGGCCACGGGGACCCCCATTTACAGACAGCGCAGCCCACTGACCAGAGGCACCGCCCAGTCTCCCACTGCGGGTAGCAGGGCTACAGTGCTCTGAGCCTGGGCTGTTTCTACCATTGCCCAAAAGGACAGGTCTGGGGATGGCGTGTTTGGGGCTGGGGTCCCCGAGAGGAGAAAGGCAAGAGAGAGGCAAAGCTGAGATCTACACACCCGGGCTTAGAGCGTCCCACTATCTTTGCACCTGCTGGGGGGGAGGGGGGCAAGAGAGGACACCCAGGCCGTGGAGTCCAGCTTCCCCAACACTCCCACAGAGTTCTGCCTCCTTAGGAGTCCCCTCACCCCCCCACCCACCGTGGTTGGGCCTGAGCTGAGGGTGGGCAGGAGACTCCCCTCTCCTTAAACGCCCCCCAAGTTCCACTGCCAGCGCCTGACCGGACCGGCACAGTTGCTTTCCCTCGGCCTCCAAATTCACTCTTCTGGCCTCCTGAGACAAGGACCTGAGTTCCCTAAGCAAGGAGGAGGCACAAGTCCCCCGGACGCTCCCGGGGGCACTCAAGTGTCCCCAGGCAATTGGTGCCAGTCCAGGCAGAGGAGCGGACCTGCCTGTCTCCACCCGGCTGCTCTGGGAGAGCTGAAGGCTGGCAGACGACCCACGGCCTCGGTGGCCAGGTGCACGCAAGCTGGGAGGGGTGTCCGGCGCCAGGTGAGGTCACGCCGGCCGGGATCTGGCAGTTCCTGGACACCTCCTCCAGGGGGGCGGCCCCGGCTGCCCAGCCCAGAGGATGAAAGGAGGCAGAAACTGCACAAAAGAGGGTTGAGGGGTTCTCGGAGCCTGTGATGAGCATGGCCCAGAAATGGTCAGCGGTCTGGAGACACATCACAGAGGAACCCGGAGGGAGCACTTTTGTGACACTCACGCCGGGGCGGCGATGGGCGGCAGGGGCCAGAGGAGAGAGCCACGCACACGCGCGACCTGGAGGGACACACCCCCAGCCCCGGAGAGCCAGCCCCTCAGCACGCCCTCCAGCAGGAGGCCACTCGCACCGTGGGGCAGGCGCCGGGCGGGCCGGGGACCCGCGCGCAGGACGCGCTGAGCCGTGCGTGCAGTGCCGGGCGGGGGAGCGCCGGGCACAGCCGAGGAGCGCACACAAAGAGACAGCCGGGCCAGCGGGAGCAGGCTCCGCCCGTCCGCTCCGTGACTCCGGACCACCCCCCACCAGGCACTCGCCCGGGACACACTCCCGGGGGCCACAACCCCAGCCGCACGCCCAGGACCCCGCCCCGCCGCGCCCCACCCTGCCCCGGACGCACGGCGCTCACCAGCTGCAGGCAGCAGAAGGCGACCAGCGTGCAGCGCCCGCTGCACTTGCCCATGGCTCCGGGGCCGCGCGGGCCGCCCACCGCGGCGCCCCCTCTCGCTCGGCGGCCGCCGCCTCCTCCGCACCGCGCGGGCTCCGCGTCCTCTCCGCTGGGCGCCCCGGGCGGCGGGGCCGACCGCCTAGGGCCGAGCCCGGGAGCCCCAGGTCCCCAGGGCTGGCGCCGGCCGCCCGCGCTCCGAGCCCATGGTCCGTCCGACCGCGCGCTGGCTCTGCCGCGCCGCGCCTCCTTTGTCTGGCGGGCCGGCGATCGGGCGCACCGCCTGCCCCGGGGTGGCTGGCGGGGAACGCAGAGCCAGGAGTGCAGACACCGAGCGCGGCGCGGCGCAGCTCAGCACTGCCCAGCTGGGGCAGCAGCCCGGGCGCTCGGCGGCCGCGGCTTCCCGGCCCCACCACGTGGCTCCGCCGCCGCTGCCGCCAACGGGAGGGAGGGAGAGGTGGGTGGGGCGGGGCGGCCGCGGGAAGGGAAGGGAGGGGAGAGGGAAAGGTGGGGGAGGGTGGAAGAGAGGCCGGGCGCGACAAGAGAGAGTGCGGGCTTGGGGGCTGGCAGCCCTGAGCCCAATGCGGACTTGGCCGCTGGCTCGCTGTGTGACCTTGGACAAATCGCGTCACCTCTCTGGGCGTCCGTTTTCTCTTGAACAAAGTGAAGAAACAATACCCTTTTCCGTGTTGATGTGAAAAGGAAATGCGCTCCAGTGAGTAAAACGTGTAGCCCTTGTCTCCTGGAGACAGCTGGAGCACTGCTGGCACCCTGGGTCTGGCCAGGGGTTTCCACGTTTTCCTCTAGTGGCATGTGGGTGCCCAGCCTCCCTGCTGAATGCCCAGCCACGTTTTCTTCCCCACCTCTTTCCTTTTACTGGTGCGAATTGTCCCTGACTGCCTACCTACACCTTCCTGGGGGCCCGGGAGCCAGAGACGAGGGCTGCAGCTCTGTCTCAGATCCCACAGCCCAGGGCCCCGCTAGGCGCCCAAGCACTTGTCAGAGACGGGTGGTGGCCAGGTCTGCCCTGGGCGTGGCCAGCTCCCAACCCGGTTGCCTGGAGGGGGGAGTGGGCCACGGAGGGGGAGCAGAAGACTGCCTTCTCCAAACACCAGGCAGACCCCAGCCCCGCTCCTCCTCATCATCCCTGCCTGCTCCTCACTTCCTCTGATGACCTGGACTACTAGCGTCACCCCAGTGGGGAGCCCACGCCCCGCCTGCCCACCCAGCCTCCCTGTCCCACCTGCTGTCTTTAGCTGCCCTAAGCCCTGCTTTCCATCGAGGGGCTGTCCTGAAAACAATGAAACAACTGAAGTTCTGATGAGTGACGCTGAGAATAAGGGGGAGGTGATGTAGGCCCAAGGTCAGAGGGGACGCCTCCTCCAAGCGGTGGCCTTGATGCTGGGGGACAACAGGAGGGGAGGGGAGAGGCCGGGAGTTGAGAGAGTGGTCTGCAGGGGACACAGGCTGTTCCTTCTTCTGTCCGCTCTTGATTCAGAAGGCAGTACAGATGCGGAGGACAAGCCCACAGTTCTGGACCCACACAGCCTGGGTCCCAGGCCCAGCGCTGTCCCTTGCTTGCTGCTTGCATCACAGGCTCTCAAGTGCATCAATGTCTTCTCCCAGGACTGGCTACAGAATGTGTGGGGCTCAGTGCAAGATGAACATGCGTGGCTCCTGGTTAAGAAGTTAACATGGCAGGCAGGTGGCGCAGTGCTTGGGCGCCCGTTTGCCACGCCTGCATCTCAGAGTGCCCGCGTTCGAGTCCCGATGCCTCCGCTCCCGATTCCAGCTTCCTGCTGGTGGCTGAAGTGCTTGGGTCCCCACTGCTCCCATGGAGGGCCTCAATTGAGTTCCAGGCTCCTGATACTAACCTGGCCCTGTCCTGGCTGTTGTGGGCATTTGGGGAGTGAACCAGAAGATGGAAAAAAAAATCTCTGTTTCTCTGTCTCTCCACTAAGAAGTGAAAATAAATAAATAAATTTTTTTTAAAAAAAAAGAGGGTGACACAGCAGAACACAAAAGCGAGCACGGGGACAGCCCCATGGGACTGCGGGGCCACACGGGCCCATTTTTGCTTGCAGATAAGAGTGGGAACTTGCCCGTGCGGTGTTCGGGGAGTCACAGCTGTGTCCAGCCAGGTTCTGTGACTAGACAGGCGTCCAGCCTCCGTGACGCCGCGCGGCCGAGCAGCAGATGCGCCTTCTACTGGGAAGAGGGTCTGTTGCTTCATCAGACCCTCCAGAGCGGGCTGCCCACAGAATAAGAACCGCCCCCACGAAGTGGGGGGATCCCCACGAGGGGGGCCGGATGCAGCTGTTCTCTGACAGGTCCTCCTCCAGCTGGAGTCACTGCCAGTTCCCTTCGCGGGGCTAACACGCAGTTCTGTGATAGGAATGCTAGCCACCCTTTAGGAGTGCTTGGTCTGAGCCAGGAACTCGACACACATTATCTCATTTAATCTTTCCAGGAACAGTGGGTTCCCTGGGGCCCTGGCCAGCCCTGCCAGCTCCTGACTCTCCCATTTTGCCTGTGACACCCTGTTCCAAGGCCCGGGACCAGGGATGGCCTGTCTGACCTCAGCAGCACTGACCTCTATCCCCGAGTCCTTCCCAGGGACTGGGTCCTGGCCTGGATGAATCCGTGCACACACCAGGCTGTCTCACATTTCCATGCTTTAGGGCTACAATGTGTCTGCCATCCACGTTCTTAGCCTAGTGTCACTTCCTCCAGGAAGCCTTCCTTGACGCTGTGGGGGAGGTGCACTCCTGTTAGCTCACTCTCAGGCACTCTGGTGTAGCCTCTCCTAGGATCTGCTGTATCTGTGATTTGTCTCTGCTTCCCTCAACAGACTGTGAGCTTAATGAGGACAGTGACTGTGTCGCTAGAGCCCACAGGGCTTGGCTGGTGGTAGGAATCAGGAAATGTGTGGTGAACATATGAATGATGACACACTGACCACACTGACCACTCCCTTCTTTGCCCGGCATCCCTCGTACCCTCTTTATCGCCTGGAAGTCAGGATTCCAAGAGAAGAGGCATCTGGATTGCAGGAACAGATAGAATTACCTTTGGCAAGACATCGGGGTAGGGGCTAGGAGCCGGGGCTGGCATCAGGAGAGACGCGCAGCAGTCACCATGAGGGATGACTGAGCCCCGGGCCAGGGCAAGGCCGGGGGCCGAGGAGGCAGGATTCAGGAATAAAGGACAGCGGTGATTCAGAACGGACCCACGCTTCCTGCGTGACGAGGCAGAGCCACGGTCAGCCCTGGAGAGAGGCCAGGCGGGTCCTGCAGAAGCAGTGAGCTCCGTGGGGCACTGCCCTGCCCCAAGGCTGCTCAGCGTCTGACTCTCCCGCCATCAGGCCCTCTGCAGGCTGAAACACTGGAGATTTCCACAAAGTTCTCTCCTAAGAGAGCAGAATGTTGCACCTGATAGTTTCCCCCTCTTTCCAATTAGAGGACTGAACGCGCTGGCTAATCATAGCTTCTCGGATGTTTGCTGACACCAACCAATTCTTCACGTGAGCTGAGTGTCCAGCAATCCAATTCGGTTCTGACGCCAACTACTGGGAATCAGTGTAGACCCCCAGGTTAAGGGGTCAGTCCCACAAAACTGCCCCTACTCATTTTTTTAAGATTTTATTTATTTATTTGAGAGGTAGAGTTACAGACAGAGAGAGGGAGGTCTTTCATCTGCTGATTCACTCCCCAAATGTCCGCAATGGCCGGGGCTGGGCTAATCCAAAGCCACAAGCCAAGAGCCAGGAGCTTCTTCTGGGTCTCCCACATGAGTGCAGGGGCCCAAGCACTTCGGCCATCTTCCACTGCTTTCCCAGGCCATAGCAGAGAGCTGGGTTGGAAGTGGGGCAGCCGGGACTAGAACCAGGGCCCATATGGATGCTGGTGCCGCAGGCGGAGGCTTAGCCCACTACACCGTAACTCTGGCCCTGCCCTACTTCTGATGCCACCCCTACTCCTGTCTAACGGCTCTAACTTGGAGGTCCCACAACCCACTTCTCATATTTATTTTAAGATTTTACTTATTTACCCACTTGAAAGACAGAACATTGGGTGGGGGAGATGGAGAGCGACAAAGAGAGAGATTGATCTTCCATCTGTTGTTGGTTCACTCCCGAAATGCCTACAAAAGCAGGTCTGGGCCAGGCTGAAGCCAGGAGTCAGGAGCCAGGAACTCCATCAGAGTCTCCCATGTGGATAGCACGAGCCCAGGAACTTGGGGCATCTTCTGCTGCCTGCCCAGGTGCAATAGCAGGGAGCTGGATCAGAAGTGCAACAGCGGAGACTTGAACTGGTGCTTGATATAGGAGGCCAGCATCGCAGGCAGCGGCTCAACCCATGTGCCTCAATGCTGGTTTGATAATTTGCTAGAATGGCTCACAGAACTCAGCAAGATCCTTTACTTACTCTTTGTGGTCTATTTTATAGAGGATACAAATGAGCCACCAGAAGAAGAGCTACATGGGGTGTGGTGCAGAGGGCTCCAGGCCCAGGAGTTTCTGTCCAGTGCAGTTGGAGTCTGCCACTCTCCCTGCCTGCAGATGCCTCCAGCGACCTGAACATTCTTTAAATCTCATTTGCCAAGAGTTTTCAGAGGGGCCGGTGTTGTGGCACAGAGGATTAAGCTGCTGTCTGATATGCCAGCATCCCATATGGGTGTCAGTTCCTGTCCTGGCTGCTCTACTTCTGGTCCAGCTCCCTGCTAATAGCCTGGGAAAAGCAGTGAAAGATAGCCCAAGTGCTTGGAACCCTGCTGCCCACATGGGAGACTCGGATGGAATTCCAGGCTCCCGGCTTCTGCCTAGCCCAGCCCTGGCCGTTGTGACAATTTGGGGAGTGAACCAGTAGATGGAAGATCTTTCTCTCTCTCTCTGTAGCTCTGCCTTTCAAATAAATAAATAATCTTTTTAAAAAGGAAACTTAAATTCTCAAAAATATAAAAAGAGAGTTTTCAAAGAGCTCAATCCCCAGGCCATCCCCCACCCCACCCCCGACACCCTAGAGGTCCACAGATAGGCTGAAAGTGACCAGGCCCACGATGAGGTTATTGAAGGGAAATTCCAAGGTTTTAGGAGTGCTATTCCAGGAACCAGAGGCATAGACAAAATGTGTTTTTGTATTATACCACAATAGCTGAGA